TGCTGTTTGTTCAACAAATCATTTTAAACAACTGTTAAGTACAAAAAAAACTGTGCTAAACTGCTGAGCATATAAATATAAATAAAAACTCACTGCTCTGCCCTCAAATGTATAACCAGTACAGGAGAGAAAGAAATCAGCAGTTAACCAGTACGTGGTCCTACATGCTAACAGTGAGCAGTTCATGGTGGGTGCACTGGGGTCTTGAATTTGAAGGGGTTGTATCATGTAAAAACAGACTGAATGATGAGCTAATATCTGAGTGTGTATTTGAAGACCTCTCACATAGTAGATAAGAAGAGGGCAAAAGAAAGTATTTGAGAAATCTGGAGCTATTCAAAGAAAAGATATATTTTGTATCTGGACACATAACAGTGTTTGACATAAACGAGGTACCCTTGAGATATGTTTTGAACAAAAATAATTTTCTATAATTAAATTTTTGCTTCAGTTTTAATATTTTCATTCATTTATGCGGAGTCACACAGTCCAATATCATCTATTCCATATATGAATTATATCATCAGTATACTTTCTCTTGTGTTATCCATGAGTTGCTTACAAAAGCCATAAACTGTGTGAACTCTTAAAAATTTCAATTTAAAAGGCCACTGAAAGTTTTTCATATATTGACTATTTTTAAGTAACCTCTCCCTAATTTATAGGGTTTATTATTTAGCTTAGTTTAACAGTTGTTATTCTTTAAAAATTTGTGAACGTGAACAATTAGATGCCTGTAAAACCCCTAGATTCATAGACTATTAAGCTAAAAGAGACACTTGAAAATAATCAAATTTTTTCATTTTGTTAATGAGTTAACCAAGGTATCTAGTACAGTTAAGTGACTGTCCAGGTTCATACAGCTCCTAGTCAAAACCTGAAGTCTTTTCTGGAGTGTGATTCCAGAGGCTCTATTCCAAAGTTTCTGTGCTTTTCACAAAGACCAGATGTGCTCTTTCTACTCCAATACATACCTCTTCTAAGTGCGTAGACTTTTTCGCTTTTGTATTACTTTATTATTATTACTCCCAGACTGGGAAGAATACATTTCAGTTAGTTTTGGGGATACAAATTAGAAAAACAAAAACCAAAAAACAACAAAAAAAGGAGAGCAAAGGAATCCAAATTTATCTGTAACAATTTTAAAAAGTTGCTTGAAAATATTGCATTCTTTGTACTTAGAGCTGGTAGCTTATAGTAATTGTGTGATTTTTTTTTTTACTACATAATAAACTCTAGCAGGTCTATTTTTAAGAACTGTGCAAAATTAGCTGTCCATATTTCAAGACCAGATAAGAGTGGGGGAGGAGTTGCTCACAGTCAGTCATAGGCACAGAATCTACGTTTGTTGTTTGTTTACTATCCAGTGCCATCTAGTGTCTATTAGGGAAAATAACAGTAATATATATATATATATATATATATATATATATATATATATATATTTTTTTTTTTTCTTCTTAAAATAATATTTCTAAAATTTAACTGGTGGGGAGCGGAAGTAAAATGAAATTTTGTGAAGTGGTCTTTGAATTGTGTATGGAAAAAAAGGTGCCAGCATATGTTTATCAGGTGAAACATCAGATTTTCCCATTTCATTTAAAAACGGATCTTATAGATAAATTGGACATTATGAACATATGTACATGAGAGTTTTACCATGTTACAAAATGTTGTTTGGTGATATTCTCATTTATCCTCCTATGAAAATAATGAGTATAACACTTTTTTGTTATCTTTTTGATCTGAGTATCCCATTCAAATCCTTATTCAAAAATTATTTTGACTGATTTTGAAAAGTGAACTCCCCATCTCCTTTGTGAAACTTTTTAAGAATTTATGTACAGTCATTGTTAATGCACTAATGCAGACTCTTACCAATGAACAATGCAAAATATGTATCTTATAAAGTAAATCATGATGATTTTGAAATATTAAGAACTAAGGTGAGATTTGCCTTGCCAAATCAGAAAATTTACTTTTAAATTATAGTAACTTAAACAGTGTGTTACACAAATGAAATTGTCTAGTGATACAGAATTGAGAGTTCAAAACAAACCCACGTGTATGTGAAGATTCGGTGTATGTCAAATGTGCCAGTTTATCAATGGGAAAAGGCAACTGTTCAATATGTGGCTTTCCATTGGACAATTTCTGTGAAATAAATAAAGGTAGATTTAATCAGCTTTTTCCCAACCCTGAATATGTGTAATAGTCAGCCCTGATTTCGAGGTTCATTATTGATTGGTATTTTGAATTTGCTATAATAACTACCTATAATTTCTTTCAACTACAAAAACCATAAAGGTTGTGTTGTGCCAAAACATGTAATTCTAACCAGTGAATAATCCTCAATCAGAACTAATAGGAGATGTTGAACAGGTGAAGTGTACTAAAGAAAGAAAGAAAAAAAAAAAAGAGTAGGGAGCCACTAATACAAAGAGAGTGTGTAGGTATGGAAACGCACCAGAGCCAGGCGTGTGTTCCTAGGCTGCCCCTCATTTTCACTTCTGCCAGAGATTTTGGCATTTAAATTGCAGTGTTTTCAATATTCTGTTAACAGTGCCTCTCAGGTCTTCATTGGAAACATTTCTGTTTTATAAATATACAAACAGAACAGAAATCATGAACTTATTAGCAAAACAAGTAGAATTGTTTACTTTTTGATAATTTGTTATCTGCACGGAGAAGATGCAGGTATAGGACATAACTGAAAGATTTTTCAACGTTTCATTTCCAGAAAGCCTAAAAATCTATGAAATGGCTTCCCACATACCCTGCAGTACAGTTTTTGCTTATCTATCTCTTGTGCTTCCTATAGAAACCCTACATAGAGGCAGAAAGTGTATTATAATATTAAATAAATGCTTATTTAATAATTTTAGGAACATATAATATATTCTACCATTTTTGAATTTTGTAGCTGAGTATAACTTGAATATACAGGTAAATTTGAACTTAAAGACTGAAGGCTGAGTCATCCAAAAGCGATGTGTGTTACATATCTTCAAACAAACAGAGCCAACACTATGACTGAAAGAACCAAAAAATAAAACCAAAGCTGCTGTTGGAAACTTTCTGCAGATTGTGTTTTTCATTATTGTTCATAGGACATTCTTCATTAAGAGTTATCTGAACCCCTCAGTTCAATTTAAGTGCATTTCCTGCAATTTTGTATTTGGTAGAGAAAAGGAACAGCAGTTGCTCAGCATCCTTCTCATAACTAACTTTCTCGCAGTTTGAGAAAATATTGGCAATACTATTTCTTTTTTTTTTTTTTTCAGGTTAACCTTAGCATCTTTGGAGTGAGTAGTAACCCTGATGCCACCACACCACATATAGCCTTGTAGTTTTTTCTTGCAACCATTTCTTCTTCCTGCTCCTGAATCCTTTTTCTATCCTCCTCTCACTTGTAAGAAAGGATGACACCTGGCTTGTATTTGGCCAATGATAAACAGAAATCTAATCATAGTCTCACTTCTTCTTTGCCACACATATATTGGTGTATAATGGAATTATATTAACTTTAAAAACAGTGGCACTGATTACTAGTCTTTTAAAAAATGAATAAGGTAAAACTGTATCATCTCTTTAGATTTTTGATTTCTAAGAGTATACCTTGTTCTTAAATACATAAAGTTTAATCCTATTTAGAAGACCCATTTAAATATATTTTTTCACATGCATTGTATTTAATAGCAAGTACTCTTTAAGCACAGTCCTAATTCTTGTGAATATAAGTATTTTGAATTTATGCACTGGACCTTTATAATGGTACTACATTTAAAGCTGCCATGGTTAATTCTAAATTTTGCTTTCCTGTTCCCTACTGACTTAGCCAAAGAGCTCAGGTCTATAGGGCTCATTCTCCTGTGATTGAAAGATACCCAAAGAAAGACTTTTTAATATTACAGAGTTTAAAAACTACTTCTCTGATAAATTAATAAGAGTGTTTAGGGATGGAGTTGTGGCTCAGTGGTAGAGCAGTTGCCTAGAATATGTGGGACACTGGGTTTGATTCTCAGCACCACATATAAATAAATAAAAATAATAAAGGTCCATTGACAACTAAAAAATATTTTTAAAAAGCATTTAGCTCAGAGTCTCACCCTTAGAACTACCTCAGTCACAGTAAGTAGTTGTAGGAGTGTGTTTAGGTTAAGGGGATCCTCTGGTACCTTCTGCTGCCAGTCTTTAACTATTAAGTTACAACAGTCCAATCAAGAGGAGGGTAAATAAAGTGTAGGGGCAGTTTACCTGAACCTTAGCATCTTTGGAGTGAGTAGTAACCCTGATGCCACCACACTACAACACTGCCTGCCAACCCTAGATGAGTTATTTTGATTGTCAATTGACAATCTAAAAATGTGATTGGATTTTATCAAAATAAATGATCTTTAGTATTTTAAAATGGATTTCTATTTTAAAAACTGCATTTCACTCAGTCATTTGGAAAGACTGCCAAGATTGGTTTTTCAGAGAAGGGCAGATTTTTCATTGAGAATATTCTGAATCTATAATTTTTTAGGATAGTCAGTTTAAGCAATGTGAATAATTGAGCCTTAAAAAATCTTGGAAAGAAATGATAATGATAAATAAGGAAATGATATTGATAATGAAAAATGTAACCAAACCCCTTGCTGCTGATCTATCTTCAGGTATACCTGTCCAGTCCCAAAGGAGTGGGATCCAGTATTGGTTTCGTGGTAGGGTAGAACCTTGAGCCCTTTTTCTCATTTTCCATATTTCAGGTACCAAAATAGAGGCTATTTTACGAGGTTTTTGTGCCTGCACATCCTTTAAGTCCTATCTCCACCTGTACGTTGTGTGAAGTAGTCCCGGGAGCGACAGTTCACCTCACTTGCTCCAGCTGGTTCAAAGCAGTGCACCTCTTCTCCTTTCATGTCTGTTTAACGGGTTCACAGACTTCTCAAGAGTGCTTTCCATATTGTGTGAAGGTACAGGAGAGCCTATAAAACATGTTCTTGTCTTCTTCCTAGAGTCTGTGTGTGTTCACACCACCTGGGATAAAGGAAGGAAAACCCCGACTCATCCCTGCCGGGCCCATTACCCAGGGCACCACCATCTCCGCTTATGTGGCCAAGTCCAGGAAAACCCTGCTTGTAGAGGACATCCTTGGGGTAAAGGGCTTTTCACTCTGTGTGACATTTTTAAAGATTCAATTAAGATGATATATCATTTTGACATATAATTTGAGCCATTTCATTAAAAAATTAAAGCAAGATTCATTAAATGAATTCATATATAAATTAACTTTTATATGCAGAAAATCAAATCTTTTGGTGTTGGGGGGGGGCAGATACTGGGGACTGAACCCAGGAGTGTTCTTCCACTGAACTACGTGCAACCCTTTTTATTTTTCATTTTGAGACAGAGTCTTGCTAAATTGCTCTGGCTGGCCTCAAACTTGCACTCCTACTGCCACAGCTTTCCAAGTTGCTAGGACCACAGGCCTGCACCACTGTGCCTCCACCAGAAAATTAGCTGCCGTATACTCACTGGTAGCTGGATTTGAAGACTGCATGCTTCCGTACATGCAATATGATTAAACCTCATACATATACATGTTGATATTCATGTATTATATTTAATATAAATGAAATGATCAGTCTTTCATGCTTCACATCTTGCCAGGGTATACATAAATGTGTTAGCTCTTGCCTCATGACCAATCACCCCAAATTTTAGTGGCACCATATAGTAGCCACTTGGTATTTCTTGTGAGCTTCCACTGTCCCCTTCAGCTGATCTCGCTGTTGGCCAGAAGTTACTTGTTGGCTGACTGAGATGGCCTCACCTCTCCACTATCTCTCCCTCTCCTCTGGTAAGACTAACCTGGTATGTTCTTAGGATGGTAGCAGGAGTGCCAGGGAAGAAGTGGAAATGTGCCTAACTCAGACTGGCTGCCTTCCCAGTAGCCAGTGCAGATCACAAGAGCAGGCCCAGACCTGGTGTTCAAGGGCAGTAAAAGAGAACATGACTGCCAAGAGACATGACAAATTGGAACCCTTAATGCAGCCTTCCAAGTGCACACAGGCATTTTCATGAAATGCTACTACAAGGAGGTACAGACTTTAAATTGGAATATAGACTTGGGTTTTAATGTTGATTTTGCCACTATAGGACCTTGAAAAAAAATCAGGTAACTAGTTACTTTATAGAAAGAGAGGAGAGAGAGAGAGAGAGAGAGAGAGAGAGAGAGAAAGAGAGAGACAGACACTGAGGAAGGGGAGAGATTAAAAAGTAGATTCTATATAGATTCTCATTTGAAAATGTTCTTTTATACATGCAAAATTTTAAAAGATCTGTAAATTACAAGTAGAGATTCATACTATTCTTGATTCCTAAAAAGTTCTAATTCATGCCTAATAGCTTCCTACAGACAGTAAAAACTGAACCCATAGAATTGGTGTTTGAGGGTATTAATTCATTCCATTTTCCTATAATTCCTTTGAGTGATTTTGCTAAGGTAGAAAATTATTAAAGTCAGAGAGCACGTTTCTATTGTTATGATATGTAATTGATAATTGTTAGATGTTGAAATGCTTAATGTGGGCCTTTGGGATTCAATGAGAATAACTTATTAACATGCACTTTAATAACCTTAAACATAGAAGAAAAGAAATGTTTACATTTAATTGTCTTCATGCAGTGTTTACATCGGTATTAATTTTTACTCTCATGTTTTATCTGTGAAGCCTTTGAACAGTTCTGGCATAGAATGAGAAGAAAAAATGTCAGCCTTCGCCATTACTTGCATTATTATTGCTCAAAATTAACACGTCATTTATTTATTAAATTTATACTATGCAAGGATAAAGACACATTGGAGTAGTATTGGGGTATAGGTTGCAAAAAATAATCTTTTTTAAAATCAGGTTTATTGTAACTATCATGATTTGGTTTCACTTAGCAAAGGACTGCTTATTATCAGTTATAAATATCATTCCATGAAATAAATATCTTATTTCACGGAAATAAGAGCCATAACATAATGATTCTATTTCTTTCACTGAATTTATGTCTTTTTCCTCTTCTCAGGATGAACGATTCCCAAGAGGTACTGGACTGGAATCAGGGACTCGCATCCAGTCTGTTCTCTGCTTGCCAATTGTCACTGCGATTGGCGATTTGATTGGTATTCTTGAGCTCTATCGGCACTGGGGCAAGGAAGCCTTCTGCCTCAGTCATCAGGAGGTGAGCCTGAGGAGCTGCCGCTTAGGACTTCAGGCCACCAGCTCCTGATGGCACCAAGGAAATGTGAAATCACAATTTGCTTAACACTGTGTTGATATGGATACTAATACTAGTAGTTTTAAAGATCTGGGCTTTTTGTCCTGAGGTTGTTTATAGTAAAGACTGAGTAGATTAGAAATGTAGTTTTTCCATAAGAAAACATTGTAATAATAAAAAGTATGCCATAATGTGAATCAAACAAAGTAGTAGGATGATTTTGAGGAGTTTTTTACACTTTTGTTGTGTTTGTCTTCTTAAAAATGTCCTCTTCCTTGATTGTGTCCTGAGAAAAGTTTCTAATGTCACATATGTCAGGAAAAACAATGAGTTCTATTCTCCATTTTGTTGAATTGGAATCAGCTCATTAATACTAACCCCACTATGAAAATGGTGTGCCTCCCATGTCCAGGAAGAACCAAGTCCCCACTAGCTTGACCCCCATCCCTGGCCTGAGTGAGCCATCTCCTGCTATCCCTGACTCCTTCACACACTGGACCTTTGGGCATTGTGCCTGCTGCTCAGAGACCCTGCTTGGCATGTGCTGGCCCCAATCCCCTTGTAGCACCTCCCTCAGGAGCCTCCTCAGAGCTCAGCACCTCCTTCAGGAGCCTCCTCAGAGCTCAACACCTCAGGGAGGGCTACCCTGAACTCTTGCTGTGCATTTAAATAGCTCCATCCAGTGGCACTTTGCTCCACGCTGTGGCACCTGTCACTGATACACACCCCCCAGGACCCTTCCTCTCTTTTCTTGCTCTCTCCCCCAGGATACTAAAAGCCATTTTGTTGTTCTTGTTATTTACCGATAAGTCTCCTAGAAGAGTCCCTGGCACCCATCAAATACTTGTTAAATGAATAAATGGTGAAAGAAGAATAGGTATATACGCAGATTTTGGCTTCTAAGAAATGTCACACCATTTTAAAGTGGTCTTTAGAGATCTTTTCAATAGTAGTTTTGTCAAAGTGAAAAATAATCACTTTATTTTGGAATTATTTGACTATAGCTCTCTTAAAATCAGTTATGTTCCATTTTATCAAACATGGATGGACAAGAGAGTATTAAAGTCATTTAAATATAAGAGGAAATATAAGATCAACTTTGTTAATCTTTGGCATTTTGTGTTTGGCAAACTATACAAATGCTCAGTAACCTCAGAAAATTCTTCATTTTGAGATGCCTACATATGACTAATTTAAAACTTGTTTTATATAAATATATAAGCATATATGTATATGAGCTTTTAAATTTTGTTTTAATTTTTTTGTTTTTAGGTTGCAACAGCAAATCTTGCCTGGGCTTCAGTAGCAATACATCAGGTGCAGGTGAGTCTTTGAGATGTTTTTACAGGGCCTTCCTAGGAGAGACCATTTATTTTTAATGAAGGATTGGAGACTGGAGTAGAGGTTAATAAGTAACTTCATGCTTAGTTTGGGATTTTAGAATATTTTGTTACTTCTTAAAATGTTTATTTAATCTCCTATTCACTTACTCTCTGCCTTAAGCATCTTGTGATTGCATGTATGTATATATTTATATATGTATGTATGTGCGTATTTATACATAGAAAAGATAAATCATTTATGCAATAAATGGTATGTGTCCTGCTATGGTATTTATTTCTCATTGAAAACCTAGGGATTATCTACTGAGAGTTGCTTTGATATTTTTATGATTTTATTTTCTAAGTTATTTTATAAAGTAAATAGTATGTGAAGTATTAATTCTTTTTTAAATTTATATATGACAGTGGAATGCATTACCATTCTTATTACATATAGAGCACAATTTTTCATATCTTTAGTTGTATACAAAGTATATTCACACCAATTCGTGTCTTTATACATGTACTTTGGATAATAATGATCATCACGTTCCACCATCATTTATAACCCCATGTCCCCTCCCTTCCCCTCCAACCTCTCTGCCCTTTCTGGAGTTCATCTATTCCTCCCATGCTCCCCCTCCCTATCCCATTGTGAATAAGCCTTCTTATATCATAGAAAACATTTGACATTTGTTTTTTGGGGATTGGCTAACTTCACTTAACATTATCTTCTCTAATGCCATCCATTTACCTGCAAATGCCATGATTTTATTCTCTTTTATTGCTGAGTAATATTCCATTGTGTATATATGCCACATTTTTTTTATCCATTCATCTATTGAAGGGCATCTAGGTTGGTTCCACAGTTCAAATATTGTGAATTGTGCTGCTATAAACATTGATGTGGCTATGTCCCTGTAGTATGCTGTTTTAAAGTCCTTCGGGAATAGACCAAGGAAGAGGGATAGCTGGGTCAAATGGTGGTTCGATTCCCAATTTTCCAAGAAATCTCCATACAGCTTTCCATATTACTTGCACCATTTTGCAGTCCCACCAGCAGTGTATGAATGTACCTTTTTCCCCACATCCTCGCCAACTCTTATTGTTGTTTATATGCATAATAACTACCATTCTGACCAGAGACACTGTGTCTAATAGAAGAAAAAGTAGGTCCTAATCTCCATCATGTGGGATTAGGCCCCAACTTCCTTAAAGACTCCTGTGGTGCAAGAATTAAAATCAAGAATCGATAAATGAGATGGACTCAAACTAAAAAGTTTCTTAGCAAAAGAAACAATCTGTGAGGTGAATACAGAGCCTACATCTTAGGAGAAAATCTTTACCCTTCACACATCAGATAGAGCACTAATCTCTAGGGTATATAAAGAACTCAAAAAGTGAAGCATTAATTCTAACTTTTAAAATCACAAATTAACTAAAATCACAAAATCACAAATTTCCTCATAGCTAGACTTTAAGGTTCAGAAACATAGCAGCAATATAGTACTTTATGTCTTTGCTTTCTCTAACATCCATTCATTCATTTATTCATTCACTCATTGGTTGTTTGGGTTTTTTAATTTCATTTCAGCAAACTCAGGTTGATGAGAAACTGTTTGATAGAAATAGAAGAGTTGCAGGTTAATAATATGAGTAGCCAGGATTTCTTGGATCATCAAATATAGGTAGAATATGTGTCCAGCTACAGTTTTTTTTTTTTTTTAATTATAAGGTAGTTTTAAAGAGCAACTTGGGTAGGCTACCTGGAGTTGAATGCTAACTCTACCGGATGTTATTTCTGGATCCTAAAGTTGTACACGTCTTTATGCCTCACAAAGTGCAAATCCCAAACCTCTAGAATTGCATGGTGATTAACAGAGATAATAAAAATAAGATACTTAAAACAGTGTTTAGCACATTTAAGTACTCAATAAATATTAATTATTATTAGTGTTATTATTATATTGTAAACCAAGTGATTTTTTTATTAATAGTATTCTAGACATTTTATTCTCCATAAACAGAAATCATTAGTAACTAATAAACTCTATTTTTTTTTTATACGGCAGGTGTGCAGAGGTCTTGCAAAACAGACTGAATTGAATGACTTTCTCCTCGATGTATCAAAGTAAGTGCTCATTTCCAGGCGTATAATGACCCTTTGTGATCAGTGGTTTGAGTGCAGGTCCTGGTAGTGGTAGATCACTATCTGCTCCCTCCACTAACTAAAGATCAGGCTTTATTATACGAGTAACTGGGAAAAATCATTCATCATATTTTGGATTACAGAATCGTATCCCCATACATGTTTATTTTGTATGCAAAGGATTGCAGATGTATATATGATGATCTTAATATTCAATTTGATATTTATTTTCTAAATAGATTCTTAGAACATATTAAAACTACTGAGTATTTTTTGTAAGAGAATACAGACAGAAGGAGAGAAAATATATAGTTGAATATTTTTCCCTAAAAAGTAGTCCTCTCTAGAGTTTTCTAACAATGTCAGTTTAAACAAGATTATTAATGTTATTATTGCTAACTTTTCTGTGTATAGTGTCTCTGATACATTTTTGAGAAAATGTTCAATTTCCCTGAATTTAGACATATATTAAACTCCCTCAGGCTAATAATGAAAGCAATTATAGATAAGTATTTATTGAACTCATTTTCCTATTGGTTTTGCTTGATACATGGGAGATCTTCTATATATCTGACTTCTCATAAATCACTGAAACTTAAAACATGTCCCAGACATGGTAACTTGGGGTCATGTGCTCCCAGGCATGTTCTAAAGGAAAGGTTGCCTGTTTGTCCTGGCCTCAGTAGCAGTTTCCGGGTGTATTATCTCTGCACATCTCTGTAGTGACACATAGCAGTCTTACCCACCAAAAAATACTGCAGTCTTCACAAATAGAATGTGCGAGTTCACATTATACCTATATTTTGAAAACTAAACTGAGGGAAATGTGGACTTGAAGAACCTTTATTTTTGGTCATCTAAGCTGACTTACCTGCTTGAAAACAGAATTCAACATTATATCTCCAGGACACATTATTTTATTACTTCAAAGCACATAGAAAGGAAACTTTTGCACCTTCCTTGGCTAATGTATTTGCATATTTTGTTGTTCCAAAATCAACCAGATGTCTGATGTGACACTTTATTCCCTCCTGTTTTTCCCCAATAGGAAATTCATTTGAGTCCCCATCTTCTTTAGGGAGTGTATTCTTTAGGAGTACAGTGTAGTCAAGTATGTTCTAAGTCTCAGTAATTTCAAGCTGAATAATTTGTCCTTTAAATCAAAGTCATTAACTGTGAGAATATTGCTAAATTTATAGACACCTGAACTGAAAGCAGTGTGTGCTTGTCTATGTTCTCCTATAACCTGTGCCAGTTGACTCATCTTTTGGGGGTTTACATTTTAATAAATATGCCATATACCTCTAAAACATTTACTTGCCATTTATAATAATGGGAATGTGTTTTATTTATATAGTCATTAGATCTTAATCATTATTTGTATTCTGATATTTCTTCTCAAATGAATTCTATTGCTTTCTCAATACAATGAAAACAACTTTTAAGTCCAGCCTTTCAGTGATAATTTACATTTTAACCATATTGATAAGATTTAGGACAGTTATTTTTATTTCAGGTCATTAAATAAAAATTAATTCATGAGAATATTAAATATGGTTGGTCCAATTTTAGTCCTGCTTAGTGTTATTGAAATTCTTCAGCTTTCTCTTCATTTTGGTACTTAGCAATAATGTAATTACGAATATAACAGCTGGAATTAGTCTTTCTATGAATGCAGTAAGTTTGATTTGTATCTTCAAGTAATATTGTTTTTCTACAAAAAAAAATCAAATGATATATATCTTTACTTTTATAGACAAATCCAGAAAATGCATTCCAAATTTACTGTGTACTGTGATCTAAAGGAAATTACTTATTAGATTATGTTGCTTTTTTTCAGAACATATTTTGATAATATAGTCGCAATAGATTCTCTACTTGAACACATCATGGTAGGTAGCCTTTTGTCTTGAAAATGATTCTATTTAATCGTTAGATCCACATCTTAATAGTGTTTTATGTGTATTAGACATACATGCTCTATGAAATATGAAAATGTGGTGCTTCAAAATCTGTGTACATCTGTTTGTCACTTCTCTTGAAATCTGGGGGAGGAAATTTGGATAACATTTTACAAAATATCTCAGCTTTTCTTTATTTAATGGAGAACTGTGCTTTGAAAAGAGTTTGGTTCCTCTTTATATTCTCCCAAACATCTCTTCCATGTAGGTTATATTGGAGAGTCCCAGTGGGTTCTCTTAAATTTTATTCTACTCAGTTTAATCTCAATTATTTCTCTCCTAAGAGGTCAGCAGGCACCGTGAGCTGAAAGCTCTGTGGAGCAGAGCCCTCGCCATCTTTCCCAGTGCTCCTGCTCTAATGCTTGAGGCCCTACCTCTCTAAATGGTTGCAGTCCTCACACTCAATGTGTGGTGCCTCATGGATGACACCACTTGAGCCCTGCTCTGTGCTTTGGTGGAAGCTCATTTTTCTTCTGAGTTTTCTGATTTATTTCAGAGTACAGTAATCTTCTGCAGTAGGAGTTTCTCCATCTAGAGGTTTACTGGTGCATAGTAGTCTGCCTTTTTTAGACTGTGCTATGTCTGAAGAGACAGTATTTGCTAAAGGCAGTTAGACAGGAATATTCGGGATTATTATGAATTTCAGTGTATTCTTTATAGTATCAGTTATCTTGATGGTTTTTCCTGGACAAAATAAAAAAGAATAATTGATGGATAGTAAAAAAATAGCTTGGCATTTATACACAATGGAGTATTACTCTGCATTAAAAAATGACAAAATCATAGAATTTACAGGGAAATGGATGGCATTAGAGCAGATTATGCTAAGTGAAGCTAGCCAATCCCTAAAAAACAAATGCCAAATGTCTTCTTTGATATAAGGAGAGTAACTAAGAACAGAGTAGGGTCGAAGAGCATGAGAAGAAGATTAACATTAAACAGGGATGAGAGGTGGGAGGGAAAGGGAGAGAGAAGGGAAATTGCATGGAAATGGAAGGAGACCCTCAGAGTTATACAAAAGTACATACAAGAGGAAGTGAGGGGAAAGGGAAAAATAATACAAGGGGGACAAATGAATGTTAGTAGAGGGGGCAGAGAGAGAAGAGGGGAGGGGAGGGGAGGGGGGATAGTAGAGGATAGGAAAGGCAGCAGAACACAACAGACACTAGTATGGCAATATGTAAATCAATGGATGTGTAACTGATGTGATTCTGCATTCTGTATATGGGGTAAAAATGGGAGCTCATAACCCACTTGAATCAATACTGAAATATGATATATCAAGAACTATGTAATGTTTTTGAACAACCAACAATAAAAAATTTAAAAAAATAGCTTTGTCTGATTTTGACAAATTTTAATGAATTTGTAAAGCAGGGAATTATTAAGAAGTAGATAAAAATATAAAGATATAATGTGGACTGACATAGAGCTTGTACTAGGGGCATAGAAGCACTTATTAATCACTTAATAAATTAGCCCTTTATTATTACATTTAAAAATAGCTTTATTTAGAGGTAATTGACATACCATATAATTCATCCATTTAAAGTATTCAGTAGGAAATTATATTATTACCAGGCATTGAACCAGTCTTACATTCATGGGTTAAAGCCTATTTAGTAGTAATAGATTCTTAACTCCTAGACTGGTTGTTAATATTTGCTTTCAAATTTTGCATCTGTGATCATAACTAAATTGCTCAATAGTTTCCTTTTTTTTAGTCACAATGTTGCATCGGTACTGAGTTATTCTGTACTTATAAAATGAGAAGCATTCCATTCTTTTCTGTGGAGTAAAGTGCTTCAAATAACACGTGAATCCTTTATTTCTTATGGTTTGATGTAAATTGGCTGTAAAACTATTAGGGCTTCTTAGGGTATAGGTCTTCAATTCTCCTTGCTGTGTTTTCTATGGCATTGGAATCTTTAGAATTCACTCGCCCATTTCTGTATTTCGGGAGTTTTTGTTACATTCCTCTAGTAGGTAGTAAATGGGGTTATAAAATGGTGAGCAAAACCTCAAAAGTCTCTACCCTCCTCTAGCTGTGATCCTTATAATCTAGGAGGGGAGATGGACATGAATCAGAAGGTCATGTGCAGGTAAAATTGCCTTGGCACTGAGCTGGGAAGGGCAAAACCTAGCGCTTGGAAAGCTGGGAATAAGCAGAGCTGATCTTTTTGGGGAGCTTGTGGCGGCTTTGTTGATGCTGTGGCCCAAGTCCAGGGAAGTACAGGTGTGACAAAGCAAGGCAGGCAGAAACAGGAGTGGACAGCAGGGAGCAGTCCATTCCTGTGCAGAAAGATTCCTCCTGGAAGGCCAAGTTATCAGGCCTGGAGCAGGTATTGCCTTCAAGGTTTTTAAGCCAGAGACGTGTTTAAGCTAGATTTGTGTTTCAAAAAGATAACCTTGGGTTAGGAGAGACGAGACGGAAATGAGTTTAAAATGTTTTGAGAGGCCTTTTGATAACATATAAGATTTCTTGATGAGCAAATTTAGATCATATTTTAATTCCTGGGTGATCATTTCATCTACTTCACTGTTTCTCAGTGGGCAATACTGACATTTTGGGTAAAGAAGTTTGTCCTTAGCAGAATTGTCCTTGAGAACTGGATGCCAGGAGTGCCTTCTTCTCCCTGCTCCTAGCAGCAAACAGGAGAGGCCGCCACTTGCGTTCAGATGCTCTGTGGCCAGCTGCTAGTTAAGACTCAGCTGCTAGTTAAGAGAATTAGGACTTCTAAATTAAATTCTTAAATTTATTGGCATTTTATATTCTCTTCCTTATCTGAAAACTTTATTTATTAAACCTACTTGAGTGAATAAACAGGAATTTACTGGCTGGTGTGACTGAAAAGCCTTTGAACAGTCAGGCTTCTACATTTACTGGGCGTGAGAACTCAAACTATATTTTCAGGGATATGTTTGCCTTTGTTTCCCCATTCAACTTACTTCTGTGTCGTCCTTATTATCAGTCAGTCTCTCACCGTGTGACAGTGATAGCCCTGTTAGCCATAAGCTGACATTTAAAGTCAAGATTTCTGTCAAGATCAACAAACCATCAATGTCTATACCATGTCACCCCTTCACAAAAAGGATAAAAAAATGTACACTTTCACCTCCTTTTCACCTTTCTTACCTTCTACCTTACATATTTTTGGATGTATGAATGTTTATAAACACACATATCGCCTTTTAGGTGTGTCCTTTATCCTGTTATCATTTCATCTGGAATTTCTTAGATACTGTTTCTACCAAGTTTTACAGTTTCATTATAATTTTGATGATCTCTTTGTTCATTTCTTGGAACCCACCTTCCCTTGCTTTCTCATATTTGTGTGTTTATATATTTTTGTTTGAGCACATCCCCTTTTCCAACATAGTCCAGATGTTAGTAGTGTCCTGAGTACCATTCACTTCTAAAATATCTTAAATTTGCCTGATGCATGAATGTATAGTACTTGACTTGGTGTGTAGTACCAAAACATTTCTAGGTAATTTTGAATTCCTTTTCAGTATCTGAGGTTCATTTCAAACTGAGCCTCTGGGGAGAGTGAAAAGGTAAATGTATGTTTAGAGTTTCTCATCTTAAAGTCTTTCTTATTACCTGTAGTTGTTTTTTGATTGATTTTCTTACCTATGCAAAAACATTATGAGCATGACCTCTTTAGATATGTATACTCCACATATCCTTTTCTTGTCTAATTGACATCATATCTTTATCTTGTCCTTACAGATTATTAATATGGTGTAGTTTTTATCATGAATGATGGTTGAATTGCATCACATACCTTTGACAGCCAGGGTGATAATCAGAGAGTTTTTTTCTCCTTCTCTTATTGCTGTAATGAATTATAGTAGAGTTTATGATACCGAAAAGTTCTGAATAAAATGTATTTTAAAATATTTTAACATTTGTTAATTTTGATAAATGTGGTTTATTATAATTTTATTTATCATTTTTCTAATGTTTCTAAGGTAAATTGGAAATCTATGATTTTGTTTTTATAGTTCCTTGTCAGTATCAGTGACATAGATAATGGGGAATGGATGGAAGGGAGTGGAGATAGACAGAGCAGTAGAATGAGTCTGACATAATTTTTCCATGTACATATATGAAAACATCACAGAGAATTCCACCATCGAGTACATCCATAAGAATGGAACTCTAACCTCAAATAAGATATACTCCATGCTTGTATAATATAATCAAAATGGATTCTGCTATCATGTCTAACTAAAAAGACCAATAAAATTTTAAAAACTGAAAAATTTTATTCATTTTTTAAAAAATTTAGAGCAGTTCAAATTCATGGAAATTTGTTGGATTTTCTGGTTGTTGTTACTTTTGTTTTTTCTTTTGCGGTACTGGAGATGGAACCCAGGGCCTCACATGTGCTAGACAAGTACCCCACCGCTGAACTACATTGGCAGCCCTTTTGTATTTTGAAACAGTATTGCTAAGTTACCAAGGCTGTCCTTGAACTTGTGATCCTTCTGCCTCAGCCTTCAGGTTTCTGGGATTGCAGCACCTGGCTGTTGAAGATTTTTAAAGAATTCATGGTTAAAACTCTGGGCCTTCTTTCTTTTATGGGGTTGCTTCTTTTGCAATTGTTAAATCATCTTTATGATTCTATTTGATTCGTATTATTCAATCCCTTCTTTAACTTATTTTTTTCTAGAAAATTATCCATCTCATCCAGATTTTTAGAAATCAGTGTATTTGGTGCTGAAATATGCATTAAGCAATAAACAAGACCTTGGGCACTAGAGTTATAAACTTAATTGGTAATAATGGAATCTTTAATATAGAGGCTCATTATCATCACTGAATAATTCAGAATCTCACGATTCTTCCATATTTGCAAACAACTCGAGTCTCTTCTCTCTCTTGCTACTTTTATACCATTCGTCCTTCCGTAAGGAGTCATAGTAGTTTATGGAGATAGTGGTAAAGCCATGGGTTGGCAGACTTTTTGTAAAAAGCATACACTACAGTTGTAGGAAATGAATGAATAAATGAAATATGAAATGAATACACCATTTTCCATTTAGCAGTGGAAGTGCATATTTGTTATCAAAGTGTGGGCTATGGAAACAGCTAGTATGAGTCTAAATATCCACCATTTAGTAGCCATAGAGGTACAGGTTAGGTAACCTATCAGTGCTTTAGTTTTCGTAATAAGGATAAAAATATTTCCCCAACTTAATATTGTTATTGTGAGGATTAAGTAAAGCAATGCATATAAAGTGTATAAATATGTCTGGCCTATGGTCAGTACTTAATTGTTACAAAGTATTTGACACTGTAGGAAATAAATTCAGCTATTACAAATACCAAGTTCTAGGTCTCTTTAGAGGTCATATTTCATATTTTATAACTGCTATTCACAGACACCAACTAGTCACAGTGCAATGTGGCTTTAACGCTGATGGAGGCTCAGAGCAGGGCATCAGGAGAGGTCTAAGAGTTTCTGGAAGAGCGCTTGGCTCTTGGAAGTCAGGCCAGTAGCAGTTTACCAAGCAGTGTCAGTGTCTTAGCATTTCAACATCCAGCACAAACAGTGTAGGTGCCATCGGTTATTTTTTGTTCTTATATACTAGTATTAGCACATAGCAATCACTTATACACTATCTATATTCACACACATATATTTTATAACTATATCTTTGTTTACTTATAATGCTAATTTCCTACTCAGAGTATAGAGTAGCTGAAACTGATAATTTCATAATAAAGGTTACCATAAAGTCTCTCATCGGTTACCATAAACTTCTCATCGGCTTACCCTGGTTTTGCCTTTTTTCTTTAGATATATGCAAAAAACCTGGTGAATGCCGATCGTTGTGCACTCTTCCAGGTAGACCATAAGAACAAGGAATTGTATTCAGATCTTTTTGATATTGGAGAGGAAAAGGAAGGAAAGCCTGTCTTCAAGAAGACCAAAGAGATAAGGTACAGCTGGAGTGAGCGTCCTGTGCTCTGATCACAAATGTGCAGGTGTTCTGTTACCCACTTTTCTGTGCCTATTCACAGGTATGCTGACAATACTTGTCATACTGTGATATCATTCCCACCAGGACCCGCCTCCTGAAGGTAGTACTTCTGGGAATGACATTGCAGTGCCAGCGAAACCACGCCTAGGAAGCTTTAGCGTCACTCCTGGAAATGCCGTCTTCCGGAGGCGGTCCTTTTGGAAATCATGTTGGAAAAACTTACTAGTGCTCCCAGGTAGGTAAAGTATGCTCCACCTGGAGTCTGCAGGTTCTCCCATGTTTAGGAGCAAGGGTGAGCTTAACCAATTCGGCCCCCACCTCTTCCCAGCATATGGACTGTCTCACAGTTCCAATATTACAGGAAATTGATCTGGTGTACTGATGACTTCAACACATTCAGTTATCCATTGGTTTAATCAACACACTTCCATTCCATTTTGAGACTAAAACCTTCTTTGTTCTTTATGTGGCAGCTATTGTCACATAAATGAATAGCATGAGGGTTACTAGTTGGTGGAAGACCTTGGCTCAGGCTTATCAAGCTGGAAACCTGCAAGGAGCACTGTCACAGACTTTAGAACCAGGCTTGGCAGGCACAGGTTGGGGTCCCCTTCAAACTGTGGGTTCCTTTGGCTTTATGTGTCTTGTTCAACTACTCTTCTCTAATACTGCATGTTCTCCAGTAAGATACTGTTCCTCATTCATTAAGAACTGCCATTCATTTGACAGTCTGTCACATGGAAGTGTGGCCTGCCATGGGGCATCTCCATTGTCTGCACTGGTACTCCAGTTCTGTTTCTAGGTGATAGTTCCAGAATTCCTGACACATAGTTCTGACTTATGGACACTATGTAGGTGTTTTGGGTTTTAAAATTTGGTTTCTTGTTTTCTTTGTCAGCCTGGGTATAGTGGCTTATTTAAAGCCATTTCTTTCTTAAGGTCCAAGTGTTCTCTCTCACTCCTGGAACTGATCCGATTTTGAAATTAGTAACTTACAGCCTGTGTTTACGAGCACAGGAAAAAGGAGCATGTGGTTGCCTGACTTTGATGCCTGGACCGAGCCAGCATGACTGTCAGAGCATGCTCCTTAAACATGAGCTTCTCCCTCAGCTCCAGTGAGAGGTGTCCACTTGCTCTCAGCAGACAGACTCACTCGCATACCTGGTGAAATGGCCCTCACTGCAGTCTAACTTGTGTTCCTGTTGTTCAAAGCACAAGAAAACAAGGAAACAGACAACTTGGAGTTTATGCATGGTTTACTTGTTGGTGTTTTAATTCTCTTTTGTGTCATGTGTCTTTTGACTTTTCTTGATAATCCTTAAGGATAAGCTTCATTTCAGAAATGATTATTTCCTATAATGCTAATAATGTGGTATTATAGAAATTATTTTTGAACTACTGAAAGTCATAGATATTGTGAACTATAGACATCTTAACTAAATTTTGAAATGAATGCATGTATGGTGATAATATAGTAATAAGAAAAATATTTATTAATGTTAGAACTTATTTATAAATGAAAATATTGATACTGATAACAAAAATGAAAAATACTGATGTAGATAACAAAAGTGTAATTAAATATAATCAGTTGTTGATTTACTTTTGATTGTTTTTAAATGTAACAACATTTAAATTTCTAAATAGTACTTGGGTTATAAACAACAGAAAATCCAGGTCCTGAACACCTCAAAGTTCAGACCTGACCTCTGAATTTGGTTCCACATGTGGTGGAAAGCATGGTGCTATGCTCTCTTGAGAATCCATCGTTTTCTAAATATACCAACTGCTGTAATAGGGCTGGTTCATCATCCTGTATTCTAGTTTTTATTATGACACTACTAGGCCTCAAACCTCATGTCATTGAGACTATACTAAGAAAATTTGTGTGAAACATATTGTAAGTTATAAGGTACTTTACATGTATAAGGGATTATTGTTATTGGTCAATGCTGGTGATCACTAGTTAATTTTAAATTTGTATTTGTGAACCAATTAAATTGCATTATAGTGTGATTTACATCCTAAAAGTCTCAAGTGATCACTGTGTAATGTTTTTCTGCTTTACTTTTACATGTTTTATGATAGTTTAGGATATGTAAATGTAAAATTAATATGAGCATTTAAAATGGAACAAGACTTTTCAACTCAATGCTTGATGGTAATGAAGTGTTTCAGAATTATTCTGTATCAGTAGTATTTCAATTAGTGTGTCTCTCTCTTTTATATATGCAGATTTTCAATCGAGAAAGGAATCGCTGGTCAAGTAGCAAGAACAGGGGAAGTCCTGAACATTCCAGATGCCTATGCTGATCCACGCTTCAACAGGTAAAAACAATCAGTTTCTCCCTTAACATTCTTCTTGGTTGAAATGTCTTCTGGACAGCTCCAGTCCTACATGTCTCAACTCCATCAGTTCTTTCCTTTTTGCTGGGAACCAGTCCTATTACTAACAGGTGGTATATTCAGATATTTATGAAGTAATGGATTCTCAGTGACTAATATGTAACAGTGTCAAAGCTAGAGTTGTTTATATTGTTATAAAAACAGCAAAGAGGCAGGAGTTTCAACTGATGGATCGCCGGTGGTTTTTTTCATTATACTGTCATCATCTTGTACCATATTCTCTATCGAATAATATGCTAAAGTGCTACACAATACATACTGATAAAATTATATACTTTTGATACTGACAGGTCTGATTTTAAATTATGGTTGTGTGATTTTGTAGTCAGCTCTGAGTCTTATTCCTTTATCTTTAAAATAGTTTAACAAGACTGGTGCTATAGCTCAGTGGTAGAACACTTGCCTCTCAATGTGTGAGTCACTAGGTTCCATTTTCAGCACCACATAAAAATAAACAAATAAAGGCATGCTGTCCATCTAACACTACAAAAAAAATATCCAAAAAAAAGTACAATAATGCCTATATTGTAGTCTTTTTTTAAAGATTATGGATAATGTTTGTTAAAAAGTCTAGAAACTTTACCAGACATAAAGTAGAAACCTAACAAACCATAGATTTTATTGTATATTATTAAAATTGGATTTTAAGATAGCTGAAAAGAGTTTTATTTCATTTTGATTTTCTTTTAGAGTACTAGAAACCAAATTACAAAATATGGTTTTAGTAAATCTCTAGAAATTGAGGAGGCTATGACTGGTAGGGAGTAATATTTGAGATATAGTGACAGTAGTGCTTAGTTAATACAAACATTTGGTTTACTTTGGGAGATAAATGATACAAGAAATGCCAAGATTTTTCATGGAGGTAATTGATTAATGTCAAATATGCATGAGTCATATAAGCACAGCTATATTCTTATAATATACTTTATCAATAAATTAAGAATACTAAAAATCTTATTTTTCAGGAAAATCGGTGTTTAAATGTTGAAAATATTCATATTATGTAAAATATTTATGTAAAAATTTGTGGGTCGGACTATAAGAAGTTGAAAATAAAGTCAACTGATTAAAGAAAATATTGGCAAAACATATATCTGACAAGACATTTGTGTCTAAAATATGAAAACACTCCTCTAAATATTAAGATATTGCAATTTAATAAAAAGGAGACAATTTTAAGAGACACTTTACAAAAGAAAATATTCATATGGCTGTTAAACACATGGGAAGTGAGTAGGGTGTACATATGTCAGTTAGATCCTCCTACATGCCAGTGTGAAATGGTTGAGATTATAAAATACTGATAGTAGCAAGGATTGGAAAGGGTGTGGATAAACTGGAACTCTCAGACTCTGCTGGTGGGAATGTGTAATGGTGCAACTCCTTAGGTAAACAGTCTTTCAACTTGTTGGAAATTTGAACATACACCCACTGTATAATCCATCCGTCATCTCCACTCCCAGGCACTACTGCAAGAAAAACTAAAACATATGTTATCCAAAGAACTTGTATACAGATCTTCAAGCCAACATTATCCATAATTACTGTCACTGGCTAATAGCAAATAATGTTTCCCATTAACTGATAAATGGATAAACAAATGTGGTTTATTCATTCAGTAGGGGCAACTATGCTGTAGTAACAAGTACTGACAGACATGTGAATCTCAAGAACTGTGTGTAACATGAGGGCATTAAGAACTGCAGCTACTAACTGCCTTGTGTTGGGTACATGGCTCTTTCTATGGAATTCGATCCTATTTCTAAAAACATTTCCTTAGAGCAGGAGTAAGAAAACCTTTATTTATTAATGGCCAGCTAGTAAGTAGTTTTGGCTATACAGGCCTATGGTTTAAAAGTTGGATCTCACAAATAGGCCCAAGTTCAAAGGAACAAATCACTTTACCACATTTATAATGTTTTTTCTCTTGTCTGTTGACTCAATTATGCTGGATGCTAAAAACCCAATAAGAGCAGAATCCTCCTGTAGAGACAGTTGTGAAAACAAAACAAACAAACAAAAAAGTTAGAATATTTCTGAAAAGGTTATAATAAAACACTTTCAAATATTAGCTTGTCCCTAAATTTAGAGGCTCACAGCGTCTCCATTGCATATCTGAGTTGAGACTTAGGAGGCAGTGAGTAGTTTAGTCTTTTTCTACTTGCTTCTTTCCTTGTGGTGATGGCTTTGCTCCTTCACTTTGCAGGGAGGTGGACTTGTACACAGGCTACACTACCCGCAACATCCTGTGCATGCCCATCGTGAGCCGGGGGAGTGTGATAGGCGTGGTGCAGATGGTGAACAAAATCAGCGGCAGTGCCTTCTCCAAGACCGACGAGAACAACTTCAAAATGTTCGCTGTCTTCTGTGCTTTGGCCTTACACTGTGCTAATGTAAGTGCTGCTTTAAATATCATTTAACTATATACTGGATATTAATGTCCAGTAAAGCCACTTGCAGTGTTTTCCATTTATGTTTCTTTACAAACTAGGAGAAATGATTCCTAGTTGTACATATTTTAGGAAATGCCTTAAAAAATTTCCTGATACTTGGCATTTATTTCAAGGTATGAATTTGTTAAAAATAAAAATGAAATTAATATTTAGGTAAGATGTTTAAACATCAGACTTACATTTCATGATATCTGCTGAAATGAATAAGAAAAGTGTTATTGAAACCCTTCATGTTTGTTGTTTGCACTGCATTTGAGAGTGTATAAAATGTTAGCTGGTAACTGCTGTTTTCACACCAACCAGGGAAGTGTTGCTTGTGACAAAGAGTTGACCACCTCTTCCTTGAGTCCTTCCAGAGGAGTCCTGAGTGTTGACCCATTTAATCCATGCTGTGGTCCTGCCCTCCTCATTGAAGAGGAGCAGGGGTCTGTCTTCACAGGAGATCTTTTGATGTTCTTTCTTTTATATTGTTATGTTTTAAATGAGTTGAACATTTAGTATTCTGTGAACCCTAATAATCCTTTTTACTAGAATTCTGAAATTTTATAACCCTTCTGTAAAGGTAAATGAGAAGAAATGGGAGTTACCACCTTAATAACTTAGAAAAATTGCTTTTTGGGAATAGGACTAAGTTCTGTAGAAGCATCCGTATAATTCACGGAAATAGTTGAGAAATAACTAGGAGCAAATATTTTTAAAATTTTTTAAATCCAACTCTGGTGACTCTGGCAAACCATTTTAATCCCATCAGTGATATTGGGTAAGAATGCACATTACTTCCCTTACACCATCCTGGGGCCCTCCATGGGTCATTATTACTCAGCTCATCAAAAATAAATCAGTACAGTTGTAAAAAGTTTTGCTTCAGATATTATCAGTATCTATATGTATCTCATAAATAAAAACATGGACAGCTTATTTTTTTCTTATTTAGTTTAAAAGTTGCAGAACATCTAATTTTAGTATATTTTGAATATTGACTATTCATCATTTTGAAATGGAATCTAAGAACTAAAGTAACTCAGTACCTTTTGTTGTTTTTTTTTTTTAAAAAAACCACAGCAAGACCTTATGATTGGAAAATTAAACACTGTTTGTTTTACTCTCTGAACAGTATTTCTACTATTTAACAAAATTGTATTCTAATATTTTATGCTTTAGAGTATTTTATTATTCTGAGATAATAATCTAAAACAAACATGTATAGTAAGTGGTAAAAATTCATTATTAATTGTGATTTTATATATATGTATATACATTATATATATACATATATAATATATATAGTATATATTATTACCAATATGTTATGTCAAAACAATATAACTGTATCACAAAATTTGGGTAATTTTCCAGAATAAAAAGTAAAAATATTATGGAAAATGATATTTTTAATGAGATGTGTATGCCTTAAAACAGCAATAGTTAATATATCCTTCACGGATTTTACATATTGTTAAAATGAAAGGGGATTTAGCATCATTTTTCTACAGTTATAATTTTGAAGTAATTTCAGATCAAAAGCAACATTGCAAAAATAGTACAAAGAATCTACTTATACCATTAGCCTTATTCCCCCAAAGTTATGATGTGTATCATTTTTGCACTTTCTCCTTCTTTTTCCCTCTTAGTAACTGTCTCTCTCTGAGCTGAGATTGTCTCAGACACAATGTCTAGAAATGCAGAATGCTTCAGCTTGTACTTTCTAAAATCAAATACATTGAATTCCTACTGCACATTTAAAAACACCAAGAAGTCAACATTTGGGGTGGGGTTGTGGCTCAGTAGTAGAGCACTTCCGGGCAGGGGTAAGGGCCTGGGTTCAATCTTTAGCACCACATAATTAATTAATTAAAAGTTAAATAAAAAAAAAAAGAAGTCAACATTGGTACTGTGTTAGATTATTTGGGCTGTGTAGTGGATACAAGACTGAGTGCCTTAAACAACAGAAAGTTATTTTCTCTCTCAGCTTACGACTACCCCCTTGTAGTCTGTCCTGATGTGGTTTTTCCTGTGTGTGGAATATTTCTGGGTCCTGATTGCTTCTTCACGTGTTGGATTGATTCACACATAGGACATTGTTTTGCCTTAAGTACCACTTTATTTAAAGGCCCCATCTCTTAAGTTTGGTCACTGGGATTGAGGCGTTGAATGTGAACTTTGGGGGAATGTGGGTCAGGCTGTGCCTAGGTACTGTGCTTTGATCATCTGCAGACATCTTGAGTCTCCTTTATTCTGAAACTGTTCTATAATCTTTGTTTTTCTTCACCTGGATATTTTTAAAGCTATAAAACTGGTATTTTGTAGAATGTTTCTTAATTTGGCTCTGTTTGATGTTTCCTCATGGCTGCATTAAAGTTATAATTTTTAATGTTTTTATGATAAATTATAATTATTCATAACAGTGGGATTCTTGTGACATATTTATACATGCATATAGCATAATAGCATAATTTGCTCATTTCATTTCTCAGTACTTCCCCTTCTCTCACCTCCTTCCTCCCCCTTAACTTTTACCTCTACTCTACGCTACTCCCATTGTTATAATTTGAATATATAGTGTCTCCTGAAAACCTCAAATATTGGAAACACAATATCCAATGTAGCAAATGTTGGGAAACAAAAAAGATTAGATTATGTAAACTATAACCCTAATCAATGGATTGATCCATTTGGGGGATTAGGAATCTGAATGGATTGCTGGGTGGTAACTATAGGCAGATGAGGTGAGGCTAGAAGAAGCCATTCGGTGGTGGTGGTGGGAGGTGCCCTTGGGCATTATATTTTATCTCTAGTTTCTCCCTCACTTTCTGCTTCTGGGATGCAGTGAACTGAAGTGTTCTATTTCACCTCAGCCCCAGAGCAATGGAGTTGGCCAGCCGTGGACTGAACCTCTGAAACTTGAGCTAAAATAAACTTTTCCTTTTCTGAATTGTTCTTGTCAGATACTTTGATCACAGTGATGGAAAGCTGACTGACACATACTTTGATTTATTTTTTAAATTGGTACATTATAATTATATGTCAAAGTGGGAATTACTGTGATACATTTATACATGCACATAGCATAGTTTGAATGATTTCATTCCCAGTCCTTCCTCCTCCTTCCCCTTCTCTCTCCCCCGTAATTCCCTTCCTCTACTCTACTGTTCTTCCTTCTGTTTTCATGAGATTGCTTTTTTACTTCCTTATTTCTCTATAACTCCCTCATTTGACCCTTGACTTTCTGAGTCTGTCTTATTTCATTCAGCATGATATCCTTCAGTTTCATCTGTTTACCAGCAAATGACATAATTTCATTCTTCTTTATGGCTAAAACTCTGTTATGTATATATACCACATTTTCTTTATTAATTCATCTGTTGACAGACACCTAGGTTGATTCTATAATAGGGCTATTATGAATTGTGCTGCTATAAATATGGGTATGCATGTATTGCTATGGTATGGTAATTTTAGTTCTTTTGGAGAAACATCAAGGAGTGGTACAACTTGGTCGTTTGGTGGTTCCAGGCCTGGTTTTTTGAGGAATCTTCACACTGATTTCCATCGTGGTTGTAGTACCAAAAATGTGTAAGTGTTCCTTTTCCCCTGCATCCTCACCAGCATTTATTATTAGTTTCAGTAAGCTAGCCACTGGGTTCCTTGGAGCCTCACCTGCTAAAAGATGTTAATGTCACTGACCTGATGTTTTTTGAGTAAGTTAGCTTTGGGTTTTGAACATGTTTTTACTAGGAAAAGCACCTTGTAGTACTCATTGTCCCAAGCAGTTAATCCAACAATTTGCAGGCTCCCTGCCCTTCCTGAAAGTTCCATTTCTTTCTGGGAAACATACAGAAGTATTTTTTTTGCAATAATATATGCAAAAGCTTTGAGCAGTATGAAATACCCTTTAATTGTTGGCTATTATTAAGTAGGATTTAAGTGTATTGATCCTGAGAAATTAAAAATATTTCTGCTCTTGATTATGTCCTTATTAATTATGTCCTTAATAAAAGCATGTGAACCCTCATGAAAATTACTTCTAATTCTGAATGTATAATGTATTGGTATATTTTATAATTGTCTGACTTAATATTCCTGTTTAAAAGTCCCTGTGTTTGGAGCAGGATGATGGGCCATTTAAATAATTATAATGTCTTCATTTTTCTTATTTCATCTTTGGATTCATTAGACTGCAGTATTTTTTGTTGAATTAAAGGTGCATTCCTCTAAATGGCAACATCTCCCTTTCGTTTGTTGATTTAACTGTTTGTTAGTTGGAAATAGCCATCTACTTTGGAAAGTAACAGAAAGTAACCATTTAAAAAGATTGATTCTTTAAAACTAAATGAGTTAATTAATTTGCTTATACATATTATGGTTTTAAGAGGCATTTTAATATAATGCAAGAAGCTAAGATGATAGTAATTACTGTTTTTACATCTTTGGCCTGGAAAAAGGAGCCCTTCAAAACAGACTAGCTCTCTACATTCTGTGTGGGAAGATGTTTAACATTAAAGAGACAAGGAAAAAATCACGATTCAAATGAAACCAGTTGGCTAGGGACAGGTATAATAACCTTTATTCATTCAAACTTTATTAATTCTTGAATTCAGCCACCAACTATTGAGTCTATTTTTTTCATATCAGATAGTAGATGTAAAGGTGATAGAATAAAAGCTGCTCTTATTTGATTCAACACTTTGTAATTGGAATTTTTTGAATACTTTACATATTTTTTAAAAGTCTCACAACAATCCCATGAATGAGGATTGTTATCCCCACTTTACCCCCCCCCCCCAAAAAAAAAAAAAAGACACATAAAGTTTAAATAATTTATCCAATGTCACATAGTATCAGAGTATGTGATAGAGCAAGGATTTGGATATAGATATAGTTATGCCCTCAGATACGGCCTTCCATTTTACACTGATCTTTCTGAATGTTGCTCATAGGAA